TTACTATGAGCAGGTGTTACCCTATTATAGGAAATCAAGGGACAGGATATACAGGTATGTCTCTAGTAGCAGAAGATAAAGCAATTGCTCAATGTTATATAATGCTTTGGCCAAAGGTATTACATAAGCTAATAGCAGGGCAGTGTGAGCTGGCCTGTGCATGTGGCTAGATTACGCAACTTATCGTCATACAGCCAAAACTCTTTGTTTATTTGAGTGCTTGGAGCCCGCCAGTACTTTTATGGAGTATTTCGTTAGCTACCACCTAGTAGTAGTAACATATGAGAAGAAAGAATATTGGTTTAATCCCTTGCTGTACAAATAGTCTCAACCTGCAAAATTTTGCAGAGAAACGAAATATCCATCTATACAATGACATGTCAGGAAAACGATTGAAGAATGGTTCTACCCTATGTTAGACTACGGTAACACGCAATTGACCAATCAGATTGCGAGTTTAGCGGTTGTCAGGAAAACGATTGAAGAATGGTTCTACCCTATACGGTAACACGCAATTGACCAATCAGATTGCGAGTTTAGCGGTTGTCAGGAAAACGATTGAAGAATGGTTCTACCGTATGTCAGAATGAGGGAGTGGCAGTAATGTATCAGCGGTTTGAAATTCAACCGGTACGTAGGTGTGCCAGATTTAGTAACAGTCTGTTCTAAATTTAGCAGGACATTACACACACGCAATGGTGCACCACCACGAACACAAACCACCGAGTTTGCAATAATGCTAATGTTGACAGTGACTGGGTCACACACACGTTCGCAGCCATAACCTATTGGAAACACAAACAGAACCCAGGTCTGCAACTGAGTGAGACAATCATTTAAGGTCTGTACTATAGCAAGCTGATCAAGTGGGCGTACGAACCCACTATCCTATATCTATGTTTACTGTAAATCCTCTCCATGTCGAGATGGTACAACGAAACGTAGGCTCAATTTCAGGTTTCGGGGCCCTCAGTGTCTGTGGGGTTTTGCTATGCTGGATATGTGTGTAAACAACAGACTAGTGTGTGAGTGAGTGGGCATGAGACAGAGACAGCTGTTTCGTCAGTATTTGGTATACGGGCTATCAGCTACTGTTCCTATGACCATATGACGGTGTTGCCGATTCAGACGGCCCAATGTCTTACAGCGTGTTGTGTCAATTAGTCAGCCCAAAATTAGAATAGCTCTGTGTGGGAATAAGTCTGCTCCAACAGAGCTATGTGCATTGGAACTCCTCTGCAAGGACACTCCTATAATGAGTATAATACTGATCACCAAGTACATGATATGCTGGTGCATGCATGAAAAAAGTCCTTCCTACAGATATTAGCACCATATTGAAACAAGTTTTCTTTTACAAAGATGTTCCTTTTTCGTTTTAAAGTTCATTATCTCTTACATATAATTACACAGTGTCACTTTACAAACCTGCACCCATTTCATGCTTACACTCTATAATAACCCTAAAAATGTGATTACATGCGTGTCGTTCCATACAGTAGTAGAGAGGAAAGGGTTCTGGGGTTACGTGAGGACAAATAATATCTGGGAATATTAATTGCTGACACCCATAAATGCATGCCTGAGGGACACGTAACTTCAGCCCACAGACATTTAATTGGGCATCAGCACTTTCCACAATACTGTGCCTCCAAAATGAATATGGAGGTCTTAGGTTACATCCTGCCTCTCGGGTCCCCTGGCCTCTAGTTATGTGGGCTAGTGTTTAGTGAGGGTTTGTATCAGTTATTGTGTGGGGTGTAAGCGTACAAACTGCCTTGGTCTCTAGTGAGGGTTTGTATCAGTTATTGTGTGGGGTGTAAGTACGGCCTTGGTCTCTAGTGAGGGTTTCTATCAGTTATGTGTGGGGTGTAAGTACGGCCTTGGTCTCTAGTGAGGGTTTCTATCAGTTATTGTGTGGGGTGTAAGTACGTACATAACTGCCTTGGTCTCTAGTGAGGGTTTCTATCAGTTATTGTGTGGGGTGTAAGTGCGTACATAACTGCCGTGGTCTCTAGTGAGGGTTTCTATCAGTTATTGTGTGGGTTGTGCTGATGTCGGTACATCCCTGAAGTCTATACACAAGGCTTCGGAGAACTGAAGTCACTATTGTGGTCTGAGTCACTACAAATCGTTTGATCAAACCACCGCTGAGTTCCCTACCAGTCCCCATATGAAGTCCCTCAATGAGGAAAGTATATACTACATACTGCACTGCCAGTCAGTATGGGTGTATAGAGTGCAAGAGTCATGTAAACATGAACTAACTTTCACACACGCAATGTTTTATGTGCGTGCGTAAAACCTTCGCAACTTCGTACGTGGCAAAATTATACGTAACCCACAAAAATCTCCCACTTGCATTGATGGGTTTTAGCTTCTTAACACAAGTCTTTGCACTAACCCAGCTCTCAACCTTTAGGTTCATGAACATGACGACAAAAAGCCAGCTACACCCAGGACAGATTTTTTCCCTATTTCTAAAGAAGAGCTGCCCTGGGTGGGATTCGAACCCACGACACTCTTGATACTCGGCATTCTGGGTGAGCGCTCTACCAAGTGACTCAGCTCCCCCCACTAGTCGGATTATGGAAGGTGGCAACGAGTATTTGGATGGCATCAGCCATTATAAATGAACAGGCAGACAATCTATATTCCTCAGCAAACACACACGGATATATATATGGAGTGCAGCGAACACACACTGCGAATGTGCTTTTATGCCCAAGACTGCGAAACGTTTTTGTCAAGCGGAACGCAATTAAAAACGTCCAACATGTCCATGATCCGATTAGTTGCCAGGCTGCATTTCAGCCGCCCGCGAAAAATGTACCTTTGTTGGTAGCCGTGGAAACTGACAAGATTTGCAAACAGCTGAAAGTTGTGTGTGTGTGTGTGTGTTTGTGTCGGTGCTCAGTAGGTATTGGAATGTACACAAAGACAAATTGTGTGGGAGAGACAGAGGTATACACTGTTTTTGTAGTGCGGCTATCGAGACACAGTCACAGTATACTCTTTTTGTAGTGTGTATTGTACATACAGTATATATTATATCTTTTCTGTAGTGTACTGATTTTGTATTGTGCTTGCCCTATGCAACTTTTCAGTACTCATTTACTACGTGTTACTGTGCTCAGCCGCATTCTGTATACAGCACTTTGGTGTCTCTTGCATTAGTTCTTGTGGGAGAGTAGCAACACCCACTCCCTTTATAATGTATGGCAAGGTGCACGAGCAACGGGTATATACTTGCTATGTACAGTGCACCTTGCCATACATTATAAAGGGAGTGGGTGTCTCTACACCAAAGTACTATGTCTTTGCTTATAACTATCCATGTACGTACTAATTAGGGGGTTTCACTCCCTGTCGCACTATCGGCACATGCCAGCAAAGCATTAAAGCGAAGCACGTGTTAGCTAAGCAATGAGTAGTTGCAGTAAACAGCTAGGGACACTCCCTTCGACGCTTTCACACACAGTGCAGTGCACAATCTTTGCGCTGTAAAATTCCGCGAATTTTCAAGCGAACTCTCCATTCGTGAGCATAAAAGTCCATTTGTTTGTGGTACACAAAGTAGTTGCTGGTTGCTTCCACCGCCTGCCAATATCTAGGTTGCAACCTCATCCTTAAGGCATTACACTCCTCCATTTTAGCGCGAGCGTTCACAGCGTTATTGAGTTCTGATTTTTCTTGCAATCCCATCACCCGTTGTTGTTTGGTTCGTCCTACACTTGCTACACCAAGAGCGGCTTGTTGTGCGACCAAAACAAGACAGTATTAACACCGCATAACGAGATTATCATGTAACCCTGTTCCGCGAACAAAACCGCTTAATTTGGTTAATCTTGCCTGCAGGAAGGGCAATTTGTGTTGGCAAATCTGTGATACGAGTGGTCAATGAATATTGGATTAATAGAGAAGGGATTGCGTGTGTTGGGTTTACTGCCACTCACTGGTAAGGACATTGGTTGAGTTGCATATCCTGTGTTGATCCCTCTTACATGGCCTGGCCAAACCTCCGTGTGGGTAGACTATATACTAGACTTACTTACATACGTTCTATGATGTAGAGAGAACTATGCATTATTGCTATGATGTCGTATGTGGACAAGGGCTTGCTATGATATGTATGATGTAATGTGGCATAGACCAGACTGACTTGTAGTTGATGTAGATTGGTTTGCTATGATATGTATGATGTAATGTGGCATAGACCAGACTGACTTGTAGTTGATGTAGATTGGCTTGCTATGATATGTATGATGTAATATGGCATAGACCAGACTGACTTGTAGTTGATGTAGATTGGCTTGCTATGATATGTATGATGTATGATGTAATATGGCATAGACCAGACTGACTTGTAGTTGATGTAGATTGGCTTGCTATGATATGTATGATGTAATATGGCATAGACCAGACTGACTTGTAGTTGATGTAGATTGGCTTGCTATGATATGTATGATGTAATATGGCATAGACCAGACTGACTTGTAGTTGATGTAGATTGGCTTGCTATGATATGTATGATGTAATATGGCATAGACCAGACTGACTTGTAGTTGATGTAGATTGGTTTGCTATGATATGTATGATGTAACGTGGCATAGACCAGACTGACTGGTTTGCTATGATGTAATGTGGCATAGACTAGACTGACTTGTAGTTGATGTAGATTGGTTTGCTATGATAATACGAAGACTATACTGACTGCAATGATGATAGAAAAGAGTGTATTGCTGTGATCAGTGTCATGTTGTGTGGTAGAGTGGACTTTTACCATATGCTGTATTCGAACAATGTGACCATCAAAGTGACTAGACTGACTTGCTATGCATGTGACGTGGTTTGCTACAATGCACATGATAAGGCAGAGTCTAGACTAGATGTCCAAGAAGGGCGGGATGCAAATCAGTTGAACAAACATGTATGCTATAAAGTTGTGAGAAAATGCACACTGTAACCAACCAAGTCAATATTAATAAAGACCCTTAACCTTTTTCGCAAGTGTACTAACTCAAATTTGCCAAATATTCATCCCAAAAGCATCCACCTTCCATATTCATTTTCCACCAAATACAGCGGCAAATATACACACACCACACTACAACCACACGATCATGCACTGGTAAGAAATGGCTCCACATAAAATCTCCCTCCTACCTCAATAACAATCGAGTAAAGATGACATCATCACACATTCAATTTCACAATAGCCAAAGCTGTTTCCCATGAGCAAGTAATAAGACGGGAATAGGTTTTGCAGTCATTTGGGTCATCTTTATAAGGAACTGCACTACTAAAACCCCAAACACACAAACACTTATCACTTTCAAGATACGTACATAAGTAAGCCATTCACCAGACGTAAAAATAATTTCAGTGGATGAGAAAGATGAGTAAATTTGTGCCGAGTGTTTTGTAGGAGTAGCCTCGTTCCCAGGCTCCCACAGAATATTATCAGACGTTGCTGCTTGCTGGATTTCGCTGACCGCCATGTCAGCCGCCCATCACTGACTATTTCAATATTAATGGGGCATGTGGAGTACAGTGTCTAAAGGCACACACATGCAGTGCAACTTTGTTGCATTCCCATGCAACTTCAAAGGAAGAGTACGATTAATTCACAAACGTCGTCAAAATTAAAGTGTTGTCTATTTCATGCAGTATCTTGCATAACACCCATCATGCCCATATATACTTACGTATGGGAATGTGTCAGGGATAAGAACCCAGTGCAAGAATGCTAATTAGTTATCTATACCATTTAGCCCTCCTGAATCGCGTTTTCACATGAGAGGAGTACATACGTAACTCACATTCTGTGAGTGGGAGGTGAGGAGGAGGGAGAAGGGTGGGCCTGGGGAGAGTGGTGAGGGGAGGTGTGCTGGGGGAGGGGGAGGGGAGAGGGGAAGGAGGGCGCGAGGAGGTTGTACCGCACTCGGCCCTCCACTGTAGCTGCCGGTACTCTGCTCGACAGGAAGATGGGGCTGAGGGGAACAGAGAGATAGAGAGAGAGAGGTGAGACAGAGAGGAGTGAAATAAAGAACCTTAGTTCTTGACTATTATGTGAATGCAAGCATCTCTGTATAGTGTGCCTTCCAAAGTAACCTTTCTAATCATAAGTGAGGCATGAAATGTAAGCAAACAATCAGGACACCGAGGGACTCAAACCAACAACACTCTACAGTCTAGTCAGTCATGTCTCAACAACTTGGTAACGAGGTAGAAAGGCAAGGCAAGGCAAATAAGTCAACTACACCCAGGACAGCTCAAAGAAAAGAAGAAAAGCTGCCCTGGGTGGGATTCGAACCCACGACACTCTGCATACTATCCAAACACACGTATAAAAATGGTGCAATTAGGACGAACTGCCAACAAATAAGCGGCAGGAATTGAGAATCACAATTATAGGTGTAGTTGGACAGCTACTACATATTTACATACCATAATTATTATACATGGACAAACTATGTTAGAAAAAGAGTGACACAGTTACGCAACATCTGGCAAGTTATAGAGAGACAGCCGGACGTGTTTATCCTTTCACGTGTACATATTTGCATACATATCTGCCACATAATTTGCTGGAAACTACCCAAGAGCCCTCTTGGAAGGCAGCAGTTAATGCCCACTTTAGCCACAACACACCGCATCATTATGATAGGCATTCAATTCCGCCTACAGTTAGAGTAACACATACATACCATACATACATACATACATACATGCCACAGGCAAGGACGTCGATATTAACATTACTTACCCCCCCTACACAGCCTCCTAACTTAATCTCCCGGGCCATATAAGTGTATGCGCGCTGCACGGCGCACGTTTCAAAGCAAAGCCAACTGCCAGCAAGTGTAAACAGAGGTTGGGGATTGAGGAAATGGGATTGGAAGTGACGCGGCGTTTTTGGCATCTCTTCCATCCTAAACAGACCATGCAAGTGCCCATCTTCCATCCCAAACAGAACATGCAAGTGCCTATATAGAAGGAGCAGGAGGCTTCCCTAATGTTAATTCCACACAGGACAGGCTGCAGGTCCAGGAAGAGCATACATCCTAAGTACAGGCCAACTGGCTTATATCACATCCCTAGTATTGAATCCCCACTTCCCTCCACCACACGAACACACTGTCCTTTTCCTATCCCTGTTGGATATGAGGTAACATGGCACAAGGTAGATGAGGTACGTAATATTCGGCTTAGGGTTGGTTATGTTTTGAGGAATCACAGAAAGTTTTCACATGGATATTGGACAGGTACTGCATACAAGAAATAGGAAATGCACTCGGATTTCTCATATCTTGCCAGTGCTACTACATCTGGGTGTGTGTGAACAAGACAAGGAAAATCCATATTCTTACTTCAACCGCAAAATGAAATAAATCCCCACTATACGATATATAGAATGCACCGTAGCAAGCAAGGTCATGTTGGAGTAGCAGAGAAGCATTTGGCGCAGAAGAATGCCTTCAGTGCTGTAGCTAAGTGAGTTGGCGATAGCCATTGCGGGGCTACGCAGCACCACAAACACACACACACATGTGTTGTGTGTGTTTGTCTTCCCGTGCAGGCACATTATGCAATGACTACTCGGAATGTCCCATAGAACAGGACTGCTTTAGGCACGTCGTACAAATTGGTAACGTGGTAATGCGTGCAATAAGTGGACGGAAAGGACACAGTTCCCAGGATACTTGGTTGTCTTCCAGAGAGACGTTGGCAAATGAATGGCTTATAACTAACCCTGGGCAGTTAGTTAACACATATAAAGAGGCACAAAACTACTTTAGAAGTGCCACAGGGTATAATTAAACACACATCGAATAACTCTAGACTATATTATTATATAGCCTGTTGGGGAGGGAGGTTGTTGCTTCCCGTGTCAGTGGTAGAAGAGAATTCAGCTGGGTTCAATCTTCCCAGGCCACCTGGTAATTCAGACATTTCTCCTCCTCCTCCCTCTCAGACCACCTCCCCCTATAGTTCCCACCAAGAGCCTGCCAGAAACCTTATAATTGCAGCAACATGCTGCTAGAGACAACCTTTACACTCCATACCTTTTAGAGTTTAAATTAGTAAGAAAATTTTTGCAGGTTAGCATTTTCCCCTCACATACGCATGTAACCGGACGCACAGCGTAAAATATTTTATGTGCATCAAAACACTTGTTCTTGGAATTAAAGAAAACTTTCCTGACAAAAAATGTAATGATACGATGGTGTGTAGCAACTTCTACCAAGCAAGAAAGACTGGCTTACCAGAAAAAGTCAGCAAGCTGGCTGGCCTAGCGTAAGTGCTGGCCTACCACAGAAAGTACAGCTAAAAATTACGGTTGCAGCCACTTACACCAATGTAGTACGCAGCCTGTGTATTCATGGTGAACGTAATATAAGCATAGTTGTGGTACATTTGCAGTTACATTACACATGTAATACAGTACGGGAAATTTTTAATGTCTTTACATACTTAGCAAGTGGCTGTCCTGCAAGTGGCTTGCCTAGCAGCCAGAAGTATAGAGCAACAAGAGGCATGAAGGGATTGAATTCTCAAGATTCTTGATTGCCTTCCAGACAGAGAATAGGAAGTTTTTAATTGGCGTAATTAATCCACTCAGGCCTTTCACAGGATATTCGATTTTCTCATTATCTGCCACAAATAATGAGTGGATAATAGCCCTGTAGGATCAAACTAAGTGCCTTGGGGCTAGTTTACTACACATAGGTACAAAGTACACTCTCAGTATTTGAGAAATGGTACTATATGAAGCCCAGAAATGAATAAAGGGGGTCAGGTGATTGCCGTAACCCTATACCTGTTATAGTGGAACCTTCTACCATAGTCGAACCTCTTTCAACTCCTTTTCAAAGTAAGCGGAATGCATAGTACACAATTACTGGTTTCAGTTTTCCCTGCATATGGCAGAACGCCTCGAACTTTCAAGAGGGACTGAAACGGCTTCAATGACCGAAAACCTCGCTCAAAAAAGCGGGACACAGAGCCATAAAATTATGTGTGAAAGAAAGGAGCTTGTACTGGTTGGTGAAAAACATCCCACAACAGATTATCATTATGCAAAAAGTTGAAGGCCCTTGAGGAAGAAACAGTGCCCTACACGATGGCAAAGAGTGGGTACGTACGTAAGTAAGTCTGTATTTGCGGTAAAAGTGGTGTTAGCTAGTCTTCAGAGAGAGAGAGAGAGAAAACATATATCAACACCAGCCCAGCCTTAACCACATCACCGGGCAGAGGGAGGGATGGGGTGTCGGAACTGATAGCCTTCCAGCCAGAAGCCGGCACTCCCCCAAGGTTCCTCTACCACCAGTGAAGTTTGTTTGTCAGAGCACTGGCAACTGCCCAAACACAAAATGCCACAGGCAACACCAAGCACCCTACCAGTAGCCTTCATACGTAGTTCCTAAATGCAGTGTAGAGTGGCCAATGTCCCAGACCCTGCCAGATTTAATAGCTACCATGTCCTAAATGCAGAGTGGCCTAGTCTTTATGAGGCACCAGGGGAGCCTGCTGAAATGGTTGTGTGCTATCATAGTTCAACATGTAGTTTGCGGCATCTTTCCCGCGAAGCAACACGAGCCAACGCAAGAATGTCCACAGAATGCCGTCTTTATGTTACTAAACCCAGAGTACAATTGAGGGACGGTGGTGACCTTGTTCAGCGGATGGAATCTCATAATGGCCATAATTGAAGCCAACGTATTGTCGGTTTAGCGTGAAAGGCATTATGTACATGCTATAGAGATTGGTAATAGACAAACATGAAGAAACAACTCTCACTGTGCATGCAGGCGCACAATTGAGACACACTTGAGTTCACTGCGCCACCACGAGAGCATACATTATAATAGAGCAGCTAACCTTTGGTGCTGGTTAAAAGGTTGAAATGGAGCTACGAGACGGTGCACCGCATCCACTTGAGAACTGCATCATAATGTGTGCATGTGAACAGAGTATATATCAACGTGAACACTGTATAATTATGTATGTGTTAACAACGAGGTAAGGAGGTAGCAAAGCAAAGGCAAAGCAGCTGCACCCAGGACAGCTCTTGGAAAAAGAAATGCCATAGGTGGGATTCGAACCCACTACACTCTTCTTTTCAAGGAAAAAAGAGCTGCCCTAGGTGGGATTCGAACCCACTTTCTAGGCGAGCGCTCTACCAACTGCATGTGAAAGTACTAACGTGTACATGTGAAAACAAGCACAGCATATTAGTGCATTACAGATCCTTGAACGACAAGAAACAAATCTTGTGGTTTCAGAGCAAAAGTTTTCTCCGCAAATTTGGTTTGTTGGAACAAGAAATCTGGTATTCTCTGCATACCACACAAATGGTAAAGCAGCAGTTTCCCACTATGGCATTACATCAAAATGCACTGCACCTGAGCAGTGCATGGCATGGCAGACAACCACACATCTGGTGTCTGATACTCTAGTCTATACATAATATGTTAGGTGTACACACTGCCTGATTAGTCACAAGTGACTGGCTCTAGGTTATTCATGGCCCATACTGGCCATTGTTTTGGTGGGAAAGGAATGAGAGGTTTAATGATAACAGGTCAGGAAGCCAACACACAGACAGACTGCATCTGCCTATAGTTTTATACCAATAATATGAGTGGGAGGTTTTATACAGATAATATGAGTGGGAGGCTTGTTATGTAAGCAGATGGGGGATGGATGGTTGCATGTATATAGCAGAGGGAAAACATGGTCCAGTAGTAAATAATATGCAGAGCCATGCTGGATATAAAATGTCCCCTAACACAAATTTCGCATCGCCAGATTCATCTACTGGCTTACTTGCCTTCTCTTCTCTAACATATGTCACTTTTTACCTTTTGAAAATATGTATAGATTTCGTATGACTAAAGATAAATCTCCTATATTCAGTGGTTGTAAGAGGCTATAAGAGGCATGCCAGCAATAATCACGGCTAAGACTCCAAGTTTTCTGCCAAAACGGAGAGTAAGTGATTCATGTACTGACCATAACTGTGTGTTCGTAGACGAGCTACTCTTCCAGTTCCAGGAGACCGGATGTGTTGCGCAATAGTACACACGTGGAGGCTGGGAGCGACCAGTTTGTGCCTAATCCAGAATTAACGTTCCGAGTACACTCGTGTCCCATTCTTGTTAAGGTCACTCCCTTCTCATGCCCCATCACCAATCGATATCACTAAGTACGGTAGTACTTAGTATATAGGGATGACACAGGTTGTCCTGACTAATAAATAACTATGTAATGACTTAGTATTCTATCATGTTGTTAATGCATTATCACGAAATAACTTCCTTGCCCCTAATAGTATGCTACCATGCTTGATTAAGTGTTGCACTGTAGCTCTTCAACTGATTCTTTACATTTTCACCAAGTATCTACCTGTTTTTTTTAATCATACGAGAGCTCTTTAGTAGTAATACTACGCAAGGGGAACAATATACCTCAGGTCTATTACATACGCACACTATTTTCCCACCACTAGAATGTACACTGAGCCCCATACAAAACCCAAGTAGGAATCACATACTTGGGTTGGTGGTATATAGGAGACTACAGTCTCAGTAAAAAGCCCATACTATAAGCCAGGTGTAGTAAACAGCCCCTTCGTGCATACTCGAGTGGACATTCCCGGTCGCCCACCTTTTTACCCACTTTCCTTATGAGGACCACTGACTGCAGCGAATAAGGAGCTCGCGTATACCTTTTCTGGAGTTACTATGAGCCGAAACCGCTGAGCGCATGGAAGTGATACGTATATACACACTGACACAGTGAGCTATCACTTAGACAATGGTGCACTCATGAAACTGCCAAAACTGCGTGCGCGTAGGCGAGCTGCTCTTCACGTTCGAGGACTGGATGGGTTGTAAACTATGCACGTGGAGGCTGGGAGCGACCACTTTGCGCCTAATGCAGAATTAACGCTCGAGTACACTCGTGTTCCTCTTGGTAAAATATGTCTCTTCTAAAAATAGATGGAACTGGTGTGCCATGGTACGTACACCAAAATATACACATAAGTTAAACAGTATACTGGCAATAAGCCTGATCTAAAGTGTAGAAACTGCAGCAAGTGCTATATAAGCCATGTTGAAACAGTTTGATCAATACACTTTCTAGGTCCCCATATACAGACTCCTGCTGCATTGCAACTGAGTCACTGGAAAACATGGCCACTAGAGAGTCATCTGCACCCACAGCCACAGCTAGGACCCCCGCTGTGTAAACTAAAGGCTGGGAACACTACGATTATAGCCGACTGTGGCTTGTCAGGACAGTGGTGGTGTAAGTCGGCATAACCACCAGTCAACCTTTCCTATCATGCGCCAGCTAGAGGTGACTAGTGGTGGTTGGAACTATATACCTATATCCAACCCAAAAATAGGGTAGCAGACAATTTTCGCAGATTGGCTACAAAATTTTGCAGAGAAAATTTTCATGAATGGTTTGGGCACAGAAGCATCACATACTACTAATCTTGTTGTCCTGTAGTTGATAAACCCTGGCTAGTATACGCACCATCCTTTCTGTCTCATCTGTTTTCTTCTTTCTTTCTCTGTACAGCGTGAGCTGTTAGTTTACATGTACGTATGTATCTGTCCATTAAAGCGATTGCCATGAACTCCCTCCTCAAATGCCAACTATGTAGACTAATCAGAGGCCACGGTGTACATGGGGTATCATACCAAGACAACTGTATGTGTATGCGTCACTACTAAAAATAACCTGTATGAGTATGTGTCACTACTAAAAATAACCTGTATGAGTATGTGTCACTACTAAAAATACATTATGTAGAGCGCATACAGTTTCCCATCTCGGTAATGTTCCTGTCCCTTCTCCCATCCGCCCTAAAGGCTTTGAACGATTTTGCAATAATGTGAGCGAAAGAAAAGACACACCAACCATCCATCATAGTTTGAGCATAGCTAAAGTGTGGAATAGTAACGCCCATTTTGAGTTAACCCTGCCCCCACCTCATACCTACCTCGCCCCATTTCACTGTCCCTATCCCTATCTCATCTTAAGGGTTTCGACGATTTTGCATTTTTTGAAGGAATGTGAGAGGAAGAAAAGACAAACCAACCGTCCATACTACTTTCACTATAGCTGGAGTATGGAATAGTAACATTCACTTTGAGTTAACCTTAGCCATTTACATAGTACATCCCATCCCCCACAGGAGTAGAGAGAGCACTCTGCCTGGACTGCAGTGTTGTGGGTTCGAATCCCACCTAGGACAGCTCTTTCTTCTTGGAGATGTTGCGTATGCAGTTGTGTTGCCTTGCGAACTACTTTTTGACACATGCATGCACAGGGTAAAAGATCCCAAGTATCACTGAATTGACAAGGGAAGGCAGTGCGTGCGGAAGCATCCTGTGTACCAGTCAGTACGACCGGGTGGCTTTCCGTACTGTGCCCAGGGAGTGATGACTATGGATACAGAAACCGGCACAAAATCCTTATATACACAGGCATAATTATACAGGGATAGAACACACAACACAACAACTCTACTAAATATCCATTATTCCCGGGGTTGGTTGGTTGGTTTATAACAGTAAATCGGTTAAGGAGCTCAGGTATTATAAACATGTTCCTGCGGTCACGCTGGTAGGGCCGTAAATTAAATAAAGCGGATCCCTCGTCATTAATTGCTGAGTGTTGCACCATACATCCCCCTAGAGAGTACCGCCCAGACACTTACACACACACTTCGCGTATCACATTTCTGGGACCTCACATGTTTAAACGCTCCTTCACACTAACGTATATGTACACCCAAAAAAACACATTTTCTAATCATACAGCAGGGATATATAACCTTGTACTAGCAGTAAAACTTCACTCCTGCACAAGTTTGCAGGAAAAATGAAAAAAAATCCTTCGAGCCGGATTCGAACCAGCGACCTATGGATGTCCACACCACTACAGTCCACCGCTCTACCAACTGAGCTATCGAAGGACAGTTGACAGATGGACACAGCTACACTCAACCCTTTCACATTGCAGTAATATATCCTATCTGATTGTACTAATTTCCTAAACGACTCAAATTTAATGATGATGCGTGGGTTAACGGCATCTCCACTGTAAACAAACATACATACACATTAGCTTCTCCTGACATAGTATTCCCGAGGTGTGACGCGTGAAATACTGTATACAAACACATATTTATCTATGACAAACCAATATCTCGTGAAGAATTCTGGCTAATTGCTAATACATTGCATAATCGTGGGCAGCAGTGTGGCATAAGAGCAATGACACGTGGACCACTATACAAAAATACACATGTAACAATAGACCATGTGATGCCAAGAGAAAAAAGATGCGGAGCTCATGTATATTCGGCACGCCAATCAAGAAGTTACATTGCACAATTGCTGCCAGCAGTAGTGTGCTATGACTGGGGCTACTAAGACAGTGATTGCGGTGAGCGGCACACAGTGGCACGTGTAATTCGCAAGCCATACGTCTGGGGAATTGGGTGTGGATGTGGAAAGCATGCTAGCAGTCTACGCTCGATAATCCCACAGGGTCGAGGGCTAATTGTTTCACACCACTGTTAATTTAATATCCATCTGTGCATGCTGTACTGCCTTTACTGTGCAGTTATTAATAAGAATGGCTGCGTCAGACCACAAATACCAACAGTCACTCGGACACCAACACACAGTCAATGAGAGAAACATGTATTAATAGTGACATTGCGACATAGCTACGTATTATTGCAACACCTCAGCAAAAAAAACTGTCGGCACTAATAGACTGTGAGAAAAACGTTTTTATTTTACACAGACGTTAATTCAATTTTAGTCTCCATACACAATCCACGGCAGCTGTAGACAAAAAAGGCACCGCTCACAAAAAGAGTAAAATTCCACAACTTTGCACATTTCAGAGTGACCTACCAAAACCGGTGAAAGCGTCACACTGTAATGGCAGAGAAATGAACAACGAAGCTCCTTAGTAGGATACGGGGAAATACCCACTTCTCACGTCCGTTCTCATAGAGGCATGTCGAAGAAATTGTTTACTGCAGTCCATATTAACTGTAAACACCCTTCCGCCCAAGAGGTGGTGTTTTTCTGAACCGGCGATCAAAACAGTTGGCAAATGTATGGAGGCACTATATATATCTTCCTGTACCTAGCTTCACCAATCCCTCTTTCACCTCTATTTCCCTATCCCTCTGCTAATCCATCCCCAAACATCTAAAAGGGGGTCAAAGATTATGCATTTTTTTTAGGGACACCGGTGGAAGAACAGCTGAACCAACCATACTTCCACGTTAGACGATCATTGAAGTATGGAATAGTATTGTACACCTTCTTTCTGCACTTTTTCCTATCTAGATTGACCAATCCATCTTTCACCTCTATTTTTGCTGAATCAACCCCCAACATCTAGTAAGGGTGTCAACGATTTTGCATTTTTGGTAGGAACATCGGTGGAAGAAGAGACAAGCCAACTATCTGCAATATTTATAATACCATTGGAGTACGGATTAGTAATGCACTCTATCTTCCTGCACCTCTATTTTGCTGTCCCTTTGCCAATCAACCCCTAACATCTAGTATTTTGCATTTTTTGTAGGAACATCGGTGCAAGAAGAGACAAGCCAACCATATGTAATGTTATGACTATCATTGGAGTATGGATTAGTAATGCACTCCATCTTCCTGAACCTATTTCTATCTAGCTTCACCAATTCATCTTTCACCTCCATTTCCCTGTCCCTTTGCCAATCAACCTTCCAAACTGTATATATGTAGTGGTTGGGATGCAGGAGATGAGCTACAATGACTATCTGCCTATGGTGATGAAGAGCTTGGGTTGTGTTTAGGTTTGTACACTCTAGTATGTACATATGTAGCGATGAATCATGAATAGTCACTGTCACCGTTTTGTAATAGGGCCTAGAAAGAGAGTGCTAGAACTAACTTCTGTGGGAACATCCTGTGTCATTGATGTCGGCCAAAGTGTTTGCTCTACACGCACATCGCGAGAACTGCTTTTGAAGCAAGGCAAAAAGAAATCCTTCGAGCCGGATTCGAACCAGCGACCTATGGATGTCCACACCACTACAGTCCACCGCTCTACCAACTGAGCTATCGAAGGATAGTTGCTATAGGCTAAGGTATATACAAGTCCCACTACAACTTATTAGCTCACGGCTGGATCTCTTTTGAAGTAGATGTTTGAGAGTTACCAGGCTTTACGACAATTATCTCAGCGTTAAACACCCCCCCCCCCCACACAAACAATTTATCTGGGGAACGGAGGTAAGACAGACCCCCTGAGTCTACTGTTGGTTCCCATATAAGGTGCTCTGGGTGTGTGGTTTAGTGCTAATGCTGCTGTAAAGTTCTGTGCATTGTGAGACATGTGTATAATGTTCTTTACCTGTCAGTCATCACGTAGGCATAGGACTGCTGGAGAATACGAGGAGACGACGATGTCGCTAGTTTCTCATGTCTGTCACTTTCCACTTCAACCCTCGCCACTTCACCCCCTTCCCTCTCTCCTTCCACCAGCTCCCCCTCCACCTCCTCTCTCTCTTCTTCCCCACTCCCACTCTCCCTCGCCTCCTCGTCAAGAGTCTCACACTTCACCCCATCACCATTCTGCTCTTCCTTCTCCTCCTCTCCACCCCCTCCCCCTCCCTCCTCCACCCTCTCTCCTCCAATAACACCATTGATGTTGCATAGAGACGCAACTTGCTCTGGACTCTGCATAGCAAAGTGTATTTTAACTAACAACAAAACCTTGAATCAACTATACTCTGGCACGATCTGAAATGTAATGAGTAAGGGCAGGGGAAACTCTCCCTGCTTTCCCCTCCTTTGCTGAAGCATTGCGGAATCCCAAAAAAAATTTATTCAACGCACACAATACTAATTTATTCCCCGATGCAGCAATTTTTACAGCAAGACGGGTTCTCTGTTAATGTTTCTGACGGCATAGGGATGTATATATACATTAATTTACGTACGCATGAAACTGAATGTGTGGCAAACTGGTCAGTCGCCCCCTTTCAATATTGCTTCCTGGATAATGTGAAGTACATGTCTACCGCTGAAGTTTAGCTAAGACTGGTCTGTTGTACATATCAAGCTACAGGTTGTATACATGTCTAATAGGTCAAATAGCTGCGCACGCTCAATGTTTTATGCCGAAGTCTACGAACATTAGTCACTCACCAGTGTGAGCTGGACAGGCAGCTGAGCAACCAACCCTCCATTGGGCTGTAGAGATGCAAGAACTGTTAGTCCTTCTCTCCCTCCCTCTTTCTCGTCTTCTCCCCTTCCCCCTTCTGTTTGCTGTAGTATGTGACACAAAGAGAAAGAGCTTGAATTGCTCCCTTTTTTCCCCTATGAAAATTACGACAGGAGGAATCCTTACGAAAACAATATCTCCCTCGAAAGTTTGGATTACATCTAGAGGCATCTCAATGTTTGCTGATTAAAAGCGCACACAGATAGACACAAAGTCACCACGTTGATGGAACCTTAAATTCGTGATATACATAGTGCATGGGAGCTCACTCTCAAAAAAACTGGAAGCAACCAAAATTTATGAACACGCATAAATATTTTAAACTTATATATACCCCTCAAATGAATGACTTTAGGGTCACACCACACTAGGTACAGGTACCTGAAGAACAGGGATCAGAGTGGCAGCTCCATTGACACCAGACGGCACCATTTGTAGTCCAAGTGTACAGGAAGGAATGGTTAGTGTAATGGTAGGAGCGGGGGTCTTGGTTGGTGAGGAGGAGGAAGAGGAGGTGAGGGAGAGGGAAGAAGAGGAAGAGGAGAGGAGAGAAGAAGAAAAAGAGGAGGAGGAGGAGGAGGAGAGGGTAGAAGAGGAGGAGGAAGAGACAGGGAGGACGTGGTTGGAAGAGGTTTCTGGAATGATTTGTGGAGCAGATGTGCTGACAAGTGGCAGAGAGGTAGACAAGATCGATCCATTGCTGTGGAAAATGCACATTGTGAATAGTAGAGATTGTAAATTTTGCACTGAACTGCAAGTAACGTTGTTCTCTCAACTGTGCATAAGTTCCTCCTCCTCTTCTTACTCTTCGTGCATTGTTGAGTAGTGGAAAACTGCCTATATACTAATCCTACTTTCGCAAATTTCTCAGAGAACTTTTTGGACACACTTGAACAGAAAATTTTTGTTTATATGTACATATTATGCTCAACATAAGATTCTCGCCAGACAGACTGTGGCAACAGCGTTCATTACACCAATAAAACTCCACTCAATAGATAGACAAGAGTCACTGAAATCTACATGCATCAAATCCCCGATCGCCCGTGCTTTGTGTCAGTGGTGTTCTGAGCGCAGCAAGGATGCTACGTAAAAGGCCCGAAGGCTTATACGCACATATAATATAACACAGACACGTTGCCTAATTTTGAACTCCATTTCATGCACACCTGATTTCGTCTGGGCACGGGTTGTGAAGCACTTAAAATTTATGAATGCCATCCGTGAGAGCATCCATTTGTGTGGTTTGTATACTGTATGAGAGGACTGGGAAGATGAGGAGGAGGGAGGAGGGAGGAGGAGGGAGGAGGAGGGGAGGAGGGAGGAGGAGGGAGGAGGAGAGGGAGGAGGAGAGGAGGAGGAGGAGGAGGAGGGAGGAGGAGGAGGGAGGAGGAGGAGGAGGGAGGAGGAGGAGGAGGAGGAGGAGGAGGGAAGAATGGACTCACTGTAAGAGGGAAACATTGAGCGCAGCTGGAGTGGCGGTCACAAGCTGAGGCTGCTGTGCGCCCGGTGATTGGTGCCGGGTGTGAGGGAGTGATATGTGAGTTGGGTGGAGGAGGGAGGGGTGGGCGATGGGAATGGAAGGGTGAGGGTGTGTGGTTGTGAGGATGTGACCAGTAGTTACAGCATAGGGAGAGTTAGCCTCCTGTGATGTGAACAATGCAGATATCACACCAGATAGCCTCTATCAGGAGGATATTTCTATTTCCCTCGAACATTCAATCGATGCTGTACACCTGCTTACAGTTTTGTGATCCTTTTGGCGTATGTCTTACACTCTATTCAAAGGCTTGACAACTGTCCTTCGATAGCTCATTGGTAGAGCGGTGGACTGTAGTGGTGTGGACATCCATAGGTCGCTGGTTCGAATCCGGCTCGAAGGATATACTTTTCCTTTTACAAACAGGTTGCCACCACAATAAGGGCTACATCAGTGATTTTTTGGTCTTCAGAGACTGTTGTCTAGCTCAACATTTTAACATTACACATATTTGAGGCAGAAAGCTTTCCGACTTTGAGGTTCTACAGAGTTTCTCAGCAGACTTTGGTAAAAGAAAGATTTCTTTATCAAAAGTATACAGCTCTACTCCCAGAAGAAATATTGTTCTTTTCCCAGCCTTATTTATGAGACATACGGTTCAACAGCCAAGATCTAAAAAGTCAGTCTCTAGGTCTGTTAGTAGGTTGGCATTTTCTACGGGAGTAGCTAGTGCCGCTTTCGAAAGAGTGCTGCTTTTGAAGCAAGGCAAAAAGAAATCCTTCGAGCCGGATTCTATGGGAGTAGCTAGCGCTGCTTTTGAAGCAAGGCAAAAAGAAATCCTTCGAGCCGGATTCGAACCAGCGACCTATGGATGTCCACACCACTACAGTCCACCGCTCTACCAACTGAGCTATCGAAGGACGCTAACAATGCTTTGAGAATAGAGTGCTTCATACCTCAATGAGAAGAGTCTGAGGTTGAGCCACAAGGAACTCTTTTGTCCTGCACAGAGAAGCAAAGTTCAAAAACTTATCTTTGTAGACGCACACCGACTCACCCATTCCCTGCTCCAGCCACCACTTGAATCAACTTGCTGCCATCAAGACCTGTACACATTAGTCACAGAGAGAGAGAGAAGAAAAACACGCAAAGTGATATCAAAATGGCCACACCAGGTACTATAATATCACTAAGTGCAGTAGTACTTCCGCATGTATGGAAGGGCAGGGTTATGACATTAAGGTCAACACACTATACGACTGAGCGTCTGATTACAAGAGAAATAACAGCACGGTCGCAAAACTAAACATTTCTGAGACAAATGTCATCACACGACACCCACTGCATGCATAGCTAGGCGTACACACACACACACCTCCCCCCCCCTGCAAAGCAGCCAAATTGCGACACCTAGGAACATGCCCACATAGTTACAACGTCCAAGTATGAACATGGATCAAGGCCAACGTATACTGCATATCGACTACGTATGCCGCATCGTGCATAGATTTGTGTACGGACACACCGCATTCAGAAGGCACGATCCACATGCTCCAGTTTTGGAGAATAAGAGAATTTTGGCAAATGCAGCATGGGAAGGTATGCCAATCACGATTGGACAGAGGGAGAAACGGTCGGAACGCCGCAACTCACTTATCCAGGGAGGGCACCCAGTTCAACACAGGGTATTGGATTAGACCATGTTTATCAACCTCCCACACTCAGCTGGCAATTAACGGCGGCTTTGATGAGGACACGAAAAAGGAGAGGGGCAGTGGAGAAGGTGGTCTACCCAACAGACGACAAAGACACAGAGCGTCTCTATACGTCAGATGGTCAACATCAACTAACCACCACTCACTCACTGAAAAACATCTATCAGAACGCACATACAACCTTTCTTGCCGAGTCCTATCGTAGGTATAATAATAATAATTGAAGACTTGGTTTTTCTACTTACAGGGGCCGCAGCTGTGAATAAAACGTGGCCTTATCTCAGGGAGTGCTAATCTAGTCATAATTGCTTGTTAGAAACAGCGCTGGATGGCCAAGGGCTCCGCTTGTGCCTGTAGCTCCACCCGGAATTGTTAACCAACACGCAGCAACTCCACCCTGGACCCACCCAGCAACGCCACTTTGGCGGAGCTGCCTGCATGCACCTCTAGATACCGGCTTCGCCCCAGACGAAGCCAGCCAGCGCGCTAGAGAGGCCTCACTTGGTCCGCTGCTGGCGACGGCTCCCGCCGGCGCTAGGTTGAGGATTCTGTGCTGGGTCTCTCGCGGGAACATGACGTCTTCAGGGGCTTGTAGTTCGGCTTGTAAGTAGGTTTGGAGGGAAACAGCAACGCAGGAGCACCTCCCGGGCCTCGGGCTGGCGGTTATGGGACGAGAAGTGAGCTGGTAATTCCACCGCCGTGATCCAAAAGGTGCGGGTGACCCCTGGCGTGTGACAGCAACGGATCCTTGCAGCAGCAGAGCGAGCAGCTGTGTACGACGCGAGGATCAAAATTATGACGTAACCGTTTATGCGCATGCGCAAAACACTTCTATTTAGTGCCCATTTTCTGTCGCGTATTGATTCGGGACTTTTCACTGCTTCAGACTTTCGCTAACTCACTGTGCACTGGACAGACTAGACCATGGAGTTTCCAGAGCTGGGAAAGCACTGTGCCTTCCCCACTTGCTCGAGACTAGGTAACCGAGCGACTGTCACCAGAAAGTGAGTGTTTTTCCCTTTCCCAGATTTCCTGCCTTTCGAGTGCGACGCCTGTCATCAGATATTTTGGTGAGCCTCAATTCTAACCGATATCTAGTGATCACCGCGGGAGGCATAAGATCCCTGACACATAATCTTGCCTCCCACAGCAAAGACCATGGTCCATATGAGAAACACGCCTGCGACTCCTCATATGCCAAGGTCAGATTCCTCCTCACGGCTTGTACTCTCTCTTGTATCTCCCTAATGGCCCCATTATGTCACATACACACTTAAAACTGTACTAGTTTCCCTGAATTTTTAATTAACGTATGGATTATTGTGCCAACCCCACCCTGGCTGTATGAAAATGAATGAGCACGCGTCTTCTCTTTTTCAGTCTTCCTATACGCTATAGTCGGAAGTGCCTCTGTCTGTAATGACAACGATTCAATTTTTGTTTGTGTTTGTGTTTTTCTGTTTCTCGTCTCAGGATGCAAGGGTGCCAGTGTGTCCTCTGTGTAACCAACCAGTCCCAGTCAATAGGGGGGAAGACCCCAACGCTAAAGTCAGTTATTGCGTCCAAATGTACGGGACCCGTATGTATATACATACGTGTTCGTTTTTTATCCAGGTAAACATGCACATACAGAATGAGTGCAAGAATGACAAATCTAACAATGTAAGAGCTATTGTAGTGTATAAGAACATAAGCACTGGCACAGATAGTTGTGTGTTATGGATAAGAAGATATTTTGCTGTGCAGATTTCCAACAGATGTAGTGTGCCCGGATGCAAGAAGAAGGAGGTTGTATAATAATGACACTGGTGTTGGTGTAAAGGTGTTGCTCATTTTCTATTTCCTCCTCAGCTTGTTCCTGTAACGTGCACCACGTGTCGGAAGAATTTCTGCCTGAAGCATCGGTTTGAAACGGACCACGATTGCCAGGGGCACCCCCATCGTTTGGGGGGTGGGGCTTCGACTAGGAAGGTGTCAGGAGGAGGAGCAAGGAGACCGGGGGGTGGCAGTGGAGGCAGAGTTGGGGGTGCTCCACAGAAGACGGCCATGTCCAAGATCGGAGCAGAATTGAACCGGTAACTTGCCGGGGATGAGGGAGGGGCCAGGTTTGCCTTCCAGAATCCAAGAATGAGTAATTAACTCAGGGGTGCGTGCAGTGGAATGTGTATATCTAAGGACATCCCCGAAATAAGTACATCTCTACACCTTTTCTTCTTGCATTCAATTTTAAAGGATGCTTCACTAATGCATCTTCTTCTGTCAAATTGGTGTTCAGATTAGTGACGCACATCCACTGTATTGTTCCACATGCCACGCCTCCAATACTAAATATTATAGCGAGAGGATGATGAGACTGCAGGGGAGAGATTCCTCCAGATCACACCACTCGCCCACCACCACCACCACGTCGACAACAACTGCTTCTAGCATACAACCACACAATATGGTGAGTTAAAGATAACGTAGCAGTATATAAGGAACTAGAAAAACGGAAACATATTTCCATTGGAGCCTATTTATCTTTAATAATGTTTCTATGTTATGTACTGACACATTCCCTTTATCATTTCATAATCTTTCCTTCCTCTTACTTTCCCATCGAAAGTGTTTGACCACCACTGATCTGTGTATATACTAACAGGCAGAGGATGACGCAGTGGCACTGGCTATAGCTGCCTCCGTGGCAGAAAGTTCACCCCATTCCTCCACCAACCCCTCTTCCTCCTCTTCACCAAGGGCCCATCCTCACCAATCACACTCGTCACAACAGCACAAAACTACACCACCTCCGCCATCCACGCTGTGAGTCTTAGATTCATATTTATATGGTCGGTCTCTACAACTAATCAATGCTTGGTACTGCCACCTTCAGCATGAGACTAGCCAGGATTTGAATCTTAACAGATGCTGGTCTACTCCGTTACTCTATTCAATAATCAATCTGTGAAACATCAGAAATTCATCCGAGAGCGGCATTACCAAGGATTGTATTGATATTAACCTTTAGTGCACCATTAAGCTATACTCCACAATGTCAGAATCTTGTATATATTGCTCTGTTGATTCCAGGGAAGAAGACGAGGCTCTGGCCAGAGCAATTGCTGCCTCTCTGATTGACCAGGACACACCCAAACCCAAGCCCAAATCGGTATGACTATCATTATTAAGTGTCTTTTGAGGAAGCTGAAAAAATTACACGCCTATATACAATTTTCTTTGAACTTGCAAAAATATTCCTGCATTGTACCATAATTTTTGCACAGGGTGCAGACCAAAGGAGACAGAATGCTAAGAATCCTGGTGACAAAGACTCGTGTACAATCTCGTGAACTTATCGCACAATCATATTTTATCACAAACAGCCACACACTATATAACACATTTAAAATGACAACAAATAATGATATAACACATTTTAAAACAAATAATGATAGTGTATATATAAAACTGGAGAAATAGAATGACACACGGAAACAAAAAATCACAATATCGTGCAGCACGAACTTTGTGCTTGATGATCTGCTGTCACCACTTTTGTACGTACTCGAGTTGATTCTAGAAGATAACGAATTGAAGGTAATTTCAGTGCTAAGTATACAGTATATAGTAACACATTGATATGTGAGCCGGAGCCTTATGTTGCACTTGTGGTGTATTGTCACTTTATACGATAGTTCTGTATCATGTGAGATTGGTGATGATGTAATGCCATGTGCTGTCGGAATGAGATTGGAGCTATACACGTATCTCTCTGTCTTTGGCGAATTCCTCTCGCCATGCCTTACGTATATACGACGTCTCTAGACAACACTACAGCACTGTTGCACAGAAAAAAGCAATAAGCCCGGAATATTTCCTAAATCCAGTACAACACAAAACAAGTCTGCATGTGAAAACTATGAGGTAGAAAGGCAAAGGCACAACAAACAAATCGACTACACCCAGGACAGCTCTTTTTTCCCAAGGAAAAATAAAGAGCTGCCCTAGGTGGGATTCAAACCCACGACACTCTGCAGTCTAGGCGAGCGCTCTACCAACTGAGCTACAGTGTATTCGTTCTTCGTTATGATGTCGCCATTTTCCCTCAACATAACAGATAAATCCATCCTCACTCCTCACCTGTGTTTTGTTCCTCTGGGAGTCTGTCCCTGACAATCATGTGCATCACCGTAGTTTTACCAAGTGGCAGTGACAATGCTGTAGTACATACATTTGGGGGAGCAGTATTACTCATAATACTTACAGCATACATGCTATGTAGGCACAAGTGGGGCTAAAATGATTACAGAAAAAAGGAGCCTCTATAGGCCACCTGAAGTTTTACGACAAAGACATCCAACAAAGCAAGATCACGCCACTAGGCTACTATATACACTCTGTTTGTGCTTACTCAATTGTCTTACGCAATGTGGGAAACGTGTGTGTTTGGGACTAAAGGCTTACAGCTGAGTGTGGTGGCTTGGTGCAAGAATCTTCCTCTGTATATCAGTCACGCCACTAGGCTACTATATACACTCTGTTTGTGCTTACTCAATTGTCTTACGCAATGTGGGAAACGTGTGTGTTTGGGACTAAAGGCTTACAGCTGAGTGTGGTGGCTTGGTGCAAGAATCTTCCTCTGTATATCAGTCACGCCACTAGGCTACTATATACACTCTGTTTGTGCTTACTCAATTGTCTTACGCAATGTGGGAAACGTGTGTGTTTGGGACTAAAGGCTTACAGCTGAGTGTGGTGGCTTGGTGCAAGAATCTTCCTCTGTATATCAGTCTTAGGACATCTGGTCTCTCTGGTTTCTTCACTGTCGCCTCGGACCACACTGTATGCAGCAGAGATCGTAGTAGTTTCAGTTTAGAAAACCAAGGCTTCAAAAGAACTACAGTTGAACCTCTTTTAAACGGCACTCTGAATAAAGGACACCTCTCAATATATAAAGTTTCAATCTAGTGCCAATACTTTTGTGTTTACAGTTTACACAAAATGGTATATTTAAACGACAGTTTTCATGGTCCCCGCACGTCCTTGTATGCCCTGTCTCAGGCCATACATACTACTAGGGATAATACCAGCTTTGCTTGCTGACACATCAATAAATGCTCCCTCTAATTACCATATATTGGAAGTGCACACACGAAGCATCACCAAAACAAACACACTACTGACATGCCTTCCGTCGGTGTATATACACTCATATGGTAGGTATACAGTGTATGTATGTGTGCAAGAGTACCCACCTGATGGCCAGCTCTGGTGAATGTCCTGAGCCACATGTGCTCCGGTGGCCAGAGCTGGGTAGAGAAATGTGTGCGTGCTGCCGTCAACCAAGAGAATCTTGAGGTTGATCTGAGAAAAGGAGAGACAGAGGAAATGTGATCTGAAAAACGGATGGTTACAATGCTTAGTCTTGTTTAACACAAGCGACATACATTCGGCGGTATTGGTATACTGATATACATACACAGACCCTATACAAATGTCACAGGCAACACAAGTCATTACGAAAAGTGAAAGTATGTTTAGAGCAACACCCACTCTGCCTTTTGTATACAGCTATATCTACAGACTAACAAACAGCTACACTCTTGCATTGGCATAGTGGTATATACACAGACCCTACAGAAATGTCACAGGAAATACAAGTCATTGCAGTGGGAGGCACAGAGTGTTGGAACTACTCCCCTAGTCAAGTGCTCAGTGTACACACTCTTGCTCCTCTGCCAAATGTCCGTCTCCCCGACAAAGTCTGCGGCTAATAAGCCCCCAAATGATACATCCCAGTTCATAGGTACATACAACAGCTGACTCAACAGCAACCTGACCAGCCAAGCATCCCTAAACTGTAGCTATACTATGTACAGACGGTATAATAGAGTCAATTTGTCAATTTGAGTAGAAAATCTGTATTCCTACATGCTATTGGCATAGCTACTGCTACAAGTAGTAGAGTGTTGGGCTCCAAGAAAACCATGTTTGTGCATAACACTGCTGCCCCTTTCATCAGGGGATAACGCCATACATGGAAAGGAAGAGCTACTTACCTTGTCCTTGGGTATTTCTGGCATAGTCAACAATGTGATCTGTGAAATGGAGAGGAAATGAGAGGTCAGCATGTAGGAAGTGAGGTCATGGTTGACTTTCCTAGTAAGGTGTTACCATTTCCTGGCCTAATACGTGTTGTTAGAGTCTCATGGGCATGAGTAATGGGCCTTCACCAGTGGAAGATTCAATAGTATCATTACGAGCACTATAGATTATTCAAGCCACGTATAATCTATCTAGCCCACACATAATGCTGCTACTACGATTACAAGGAGATCGTCGTGCACTATCTAGCTAGCTGGTAAAGGTACCTATACTGTTTTGCTCACTTGTTACACAGTTCGTGGTCACACCAGTTCGTTTCTTGACACTCTTGAGTCTACTCTCCGAGTGAGACTTAGTCTGGCCCTCCCTGCAAATACTGCACCTCCGTGCGGAGCGCAGCGATCATAAAAGCAAGCGCCACGCCCCCATAGTGTTGGTGAGCGGCGCATGCGCATAAGTGGCCAGACCACCGGAGATGAGATATGATGGTGAGTTAGTTGGACAGCTACTGACGCTGATGCAGAGCACCCCTAAATAGCTATTTCTCTTCTGCTCATATCCTCAGCTCATCTACTGCACCCGCAGCGTCAGAGGTACGCTATCTCTCTGAGAGGCCTCATAGCCGAAAGCGATCCTGGAATGGAGGAGAGACGTGATCCCTCCGACCGTCAAATTCCCCATGATTTCCTTCTTTTAGAACATCAGCAGCAGGTACCCACGGATCCCATCTCCATCGATCTCCCTCTTCCTGCTCCGTTGTTTCGGGCCTCCCGAGACCACGCTGGGCGCCTCCTAGCCAAGATGGGGAGCCTCAGACGCGAGCGACAGCTGTGCGACGTCACCCTCCGAGTCGGACACCGCGAGATAGCGGCCCATCGCCTCGTCCTCTCCGCCTGCAGCCAGTACTTTTGCGCCATGTTCACCAACCGCATGCGGGAGAGCGAGCAAGAATCCGTCACCCTGGCCGACGTTGACGCGGACTCCCTGGAGGAGATAGTCGACTTTGCCTACACGGGAAATATCAGCATCCACGAGGATAATGTTCAGCATCTCCTGAAGGCGTCCGCGATGCTCCAACTCTCTGAGATTGTGTCCGCCTGTTGTACTTTCCTCAAGGGGCAGCTCCACGCCACAAACTGTCTCGGGATTGCCACGTTTGCCAAAGCCCACGGCTGCATCTCGCTCGGCGACCGTGCAATGGAGTACGTGCAGGACAGCTTTGCCGAGGTCGTGGAAGGAGAAGAGTTTCTGCAGCTGAGTCTCGACAGTGTCCTCAATCTGCTCGGCTCCGATCTTCTCCAAGTGTCCTCCGAAGAGTGTGTCTTTGAGGCCATGTACAAGTGGCTCACGCACGACTTGGTGACACGTAAACCACACGCTCTCTCACTCTTAAATTGCATCCGTCTCCCTCTCCTTCCCCCTCTCTATCTCTCCGATGTCGTGTACGCCAAGGAGATCTTCAAAGAAGACCCTGCGTGCCTCCAAGAGATCATGAACGCTCTGGTGTACGTATCGGTCAAGGAGAAACAGCCGCACCTCAAAGACATTGTCAACTGTAGACCTCGCAAGTCGACGCTCGGCACCATGTTTGTGGTTGGAGGGATCGACACGGGGAGGAACAAAACGAGCGTCGAGGTGTTTGACGCACGACGTGAGATCTGGGTACTGCTGGGATACCCGCAGCTCATGTTCAAGCGACTTCAATTCGGAGTGGCGGTCCTCAGTTCACATGTCTATGTGGTTGGTGGGAGAAACGGACTCCAGACACTGAACACAGTGGACTGTTTCGATCCGGTCACCAACTCTTGGCTCCCAGTTCCTCCCATGTGCTCCTATCGACACGGAGTGGGCGTGGCCACACTATGCGGACCACTGTATGCCGTGGGGGGACACGATGGGTGGTCCTATCTCAGCTCGGTGGAAAGGTAAGACCCTGCTCGGGCTACATGCCTGTAATGTTTGGCATGGAGTTGGTTAGGGATTTAGACTTGTTGATCAGTCACGTTAGCATGCCTACTGTAATACTCAAATTTCATCGTTCCATGTTTGCGCATGTTGCTTGCTAACAAGCTGGAATTTTACATGGCATATTGTAATGCCAGGAGAACCATGGAGCTTTGGACTATATATAAGCAGACATGTGCACTATATAACTTACACAAAATTAGTGGGTACGTCATGGCATTATTTGCTAGTGCTTACCCGCCAATGAGTCAAGTGAAAGAAAGTTGTATACCAGGATTAGCATCATCCAGTGTGCCATAAGTCATTGTATATCTGCCAATGTCCAAAAGGGTAGCGAGTGGCTTCCATTATGGCCACCTTGTCAATACATGTGACAGTCATGAATTACCGCTCTCCCAGTACGTACATACATGTGTGGTGTGAGATTCATGACTACCATATTATTATCACGACAGTGTTACTCTGTTTTCATACAATGACTGGGAGTGTGGTCATGGCCCTAGACAGTACCACACACATAAGGAATGCTTGGTGTTGTTGGTAACATGCTGCTTCTCAAGGTATCTAATACTTTGCTCTTATCTCCTGGGTATTGAATTTTACAGCAGAATTTACACTGCTCCCACATGCACATGCACCTGACTCGATGTAAAAATGTTTCTTGTGTATAGCAAAAAAATTCTGAAGAGGCTTGTTTTGCAATGCTATAAGGATAAAACAGTACTGTACAAATTTAGTCATCACGTGGGTGGATTATTGAGTCTAAGAACTAATGCTCCAGTAGAATGATATCTTTCTATTTGTGTTGTATATGTACAGGTATGACCCCAACAAGAAGCAGTGGTCTCACATCTCCAGCATGTCGTCACCTCGCAGCACGGCAGGCGTGGCTGTCTTGGAGGACAAGCTCTACGTGGTCGGCGGACGAGACAGCAACTCTTGTCTCGACTCCATGGAGTGCTACGACCCACATACCGACACGTGGACCCGGCTGCCACCTATGAGGGTACGACGAGGAGGGGTAGGGATAGTGGTCGTTTCAGAGAAACTCTATGCAATCGGCGGACACGAAGTGTTGGCACCTTTGAACTCGGTTGAAGTCTACGACCCTAAAACAAACGAGTGGAGTTGGGGTGTCCCTATGTTGTGTGCGAGAGATGCTGTAGCAGCGGTGGCATTCGGAGGGAAGATTTACGTGGTGGGTGGATTCAATGGAGACATGTACTTGGACTCGGTGGAGAGCTACGACCCTGAGACTTGTGAGTGGAGTATGGTGTCGAGTCTGTCCTGCGGACGAGCAGGAGCTGGAGTGGTGGTAATGGATTTCCCTATGGAGAAGCTTCTGCTGCAACACCAGTATACTAACCTCAGCTAGCCCGCACAGCACTCTGTGTTTTTCACATGATCATCCGAGTCACAAGTTTTCATGTTTTCTGAAATTGTCGCATGCGCAGTAGCGGATGTTGCACAAGCGACAGACCTCGCACAAGCCGAGCTCCTTTTGTCTCCTCATGATGGCGGCAGAGCCGCCGCCGTCCGTGGAGGACCACACCAACACGGAGGACTACATCCACGGCGGGAACTCTCCCACGACCAACAGGCGCAACGCCGGCATCCTCCTCCGCCGAATGAGCGACAGCTTCAACGAGCGGCGCTACCCGGGCCTGAGGGAGAGAGCAAGGTCGGCCTCGGAGGCTCCCGATGCACGCTGGCGGGTAGCCATTCACGCCATCTCTTTCTTGAGGAGACTGAGGAGCGCGGGCGACAGTCCCGAGTCTGCAGCAGCAACTGCTGCTGGTGACCGTGATACCTAGCTAACTCGTCATGCATGTCTCTACACCTACCCACTTACATAATATGTATGTAATGTCAGTATCATAACAACCAGGTTTTTTCTGTTTTTGTATCAGATTTTTATCATCGGAATAGCAGTTCTTATTCAGTATTTTCACTATTCACATTCACAGTATGCATAGATGTATAATATACTAACATATTCTCATGTAAGGAGCCCTGGTGGAACAGCGTTAGGTTTCCTAAATCTGGCACAGCAATTATATTTTTAATTCACATGTGGGAGCACTTCACCAAACAACAGATGAACACCCTATGCTAAATACAGAGTAAGTGTGTAACTAACTAGCCTCAAGAGAAGGAGGATGTGTGTGGCCCCCAAAATGAAGATGAGTGCTGAGAAATGGTGTCTATACTTACTCAAAAATGAGTAATAGCTTTCCCATTACTAACATGTTACACACGACGAGGATATATAGCCTGGTTTCCCGGCCCCTGGCAGGATCGAAGAGGCACTAGAAAGCGCGATAACATTCTCGAATTAGCGCGCCGTTGTTTTGCGCATGCGTATAGGAAGAACAGCCACGTGTGTACACACGCCCTCTCCTTCTCGAACGTTCTCGAAGAGGTCAGGGACGACCCTCAGGGGCGTATTTAGCCCGAATTCGTCCCCATCGCCGCACAAAAAGCGGCATTCTCGGCAGCGGAATCGGAAGAAGAAGAAGAAAGAAAGCGCACAGAGATGGCAAAGAAGGCACCAGCGGTGGGCATCGACCTGGGGACGACGTACTCGTGCGTCGGCGTCTTCCAGCACGGCAAGGTGGAGATCATCGCCAACGACCAGGGGAACAGGACCACTCCGAGCTACGTCGCGTTCACGGACTCGGAGCGACTCATCGGCGACGCGGCCAAAAACCAGGTCGCCATGAACCCGACCAACACCGTCTTCGACGCCAAGCGGCTCATCGGTCGACGAAGCAACGACCCCGTGGTGAGCAGCGACAAGAAACACTGGCCGTTCGAGGTCGTCGACGAGGCGGGGCGTCCCAAAGTCTCCGTCGAGTACAAGGGCGAGATTAAGTCGTTCTTTGCCGAGGAGATCTCGTCCATGGTCCTGGTGAAGATGAAGGAGACGGCCGAGGCGTACCTGGGAAAGACGGTCACGGACGCGGTCGTTACGGTCCCCGCCTACTTCAACGACTCGCAGCGACAGGCCACGAAGGACGCAGGAACCATTTCCGGGCTGAACATCCTCCGAATCATCAACGAGCCGACGGCCGCCGCCATCGCGTACGGACTTGACAAGAAGGTCGGCTCCGAGCAAAACATTCTCATTTTCGACCTCGGTGGAGGCACCTTCGATGTCTCCATCCTCACAATCGAGGAGGGAATATTCGAGGTGAAATCGACCGCAGGTGATACCCACTTGGGTGGCGAGGACTTCGACAACAGAATGGTGAATCACTTCATCCAGGAGTTCAAGCGAAAGTTCAAGAAGGACATGTCGGGGAACAAGAGAGCCGTCCGCCGGCTGAGAACTGCGTGCGAGCGCGCCAAGCGTACCCTGTCCTCCATCACGGAGGCAAGCATCGAGATCGACTCGCTCTTCGAGGGAATCGACTTCTACACCAAAATCACCCGGGCCCGATTCGAGGAGCTGTGTGCAGACCTGTTCCGTGGCACCCTGGAGCCCGTGGAGAAGGCCCTGCGGGACTCAAAATTTGACAAGGGACAGATCCATGAACTTGTGTTGGTCGGGGGCTCCACCCGAATCCCTCGCATCCAGAAGCTCCTCCAAGACTTCTTCAACGGGAAGGAACTGAACAAATCCATCAACCCGGACGAGGCCGTGGCATACGGTGCTGCGATCCAAGCTGCGATCCTCTCGGGAGACACCAGCGAGGAAGTCCAGGACCTACTACTCCTCGACGTTACTCCACTCTCCCTCGGTATCGAGACTGCCGGCGGCGTCATGACCGCCCTCATCAAGAGAAACTCCACGATCCCCAAGAAGGAAACGGAAACATTCACCACCTATTCCGACAACCAGCCGGGTGTGCTGATCCAGGTGTACGAGGGAGAGAGAGCCATGACGAAGGACAACAACCTCCTCGGGAAATTCGAACTCACTGGGATTCCCCCAGCCCCGAGGGGAGTCCCCCAGATCCAGGTGACCTTCGACATCGACAGGAACGGGATCTTGAACGTGTCGGCCGCGGACAAAAGCACGGGCAAAGAGAACAAGATTACGATCACCAACGACAAAGGCCGACTCAGTGCGGATGAAATCGACAGGATGGTACGTGAGGCCGAGCAGTACAAGGCAGCCGACGACGCTCAGAGAGAACGTGTATCTGCAAAGAACCAGCTCGAGAGCTATGCATTCCAAATGAAGAGCACCTTTGAGGAGGACAAGGTGAAGGAGAAGGTCCCGGAGGAAGACCGGGAGAAAGTCATCAGCAAGTGCAAGGAGGTCATCGATTGGCTCGACAAGAACCAGTCGGCAGAGAAGGAAGAGTTTGAGCACCAGCAGAAGGAGCTGGAGGGTATCTGCACGCCTATCGTGACCAAGCTCTATCAGGCGGGTGGAGCTTCAGAGGGTGGTGGCATGCCAGGAGGAATGCCTGGAGGGATGCCTGGAGGGTTCCCTGGTGGCGCTGGACCTGCTTCTGGGGCTGGGTCGGCTGGTGGGAGTGGACCAACCATCGAGGAGGTCGACTAGAACTGCAGTCACACAAACACTGAACTGCTATTTATGCCTAATGATTGAGTGTGTGATCCCATCCCTCCTGTATGTTCACTGTCTATCTCATGTGTGTTTAGTTTCTGCAGTCTGCTAAAATATAAGTTTCTTTCACATTCAAACTTCAAAATACTATATTCAGTGGCACCGAACAAAGTAGATAGGTGGCGTGTGGCGCGCTCCACTATTTTGTCGCGAGAAGTTTTGGTTATAAGTTTGTGGTAACTGATAGTGCATAATAAATTATTACATGGGGACGAGGTGAATGCTATGTCCTTGGGTGTGAGTCAGAGTCTTGTGAATCTTGTGAAGATGATGAGTTCTCGTCAGAGGGGGTGGGGTCGGGACACACCTTCTCATCCAACTCCATCTCTATTCTCTCCTTGGCACGTACCACCTAAAACACACATACACACATACATTTCCCATTTTTCTAATTTCCCACTACACAGTATCTCAGTTACCTTAGACTGCAGGTAGAAAGAGCCCCCACTTGACTTGTCATTCACTTTGAACAGGTGTTCATAATGCTACAGGGACGTCTACATATGAACAAGGGGTACACTAATGTGGACACACAGCTCACTTTTCTTATTGCCTCAATGTCATCTATGTTCTTGATGTTGAGGATCTGTTGTGCCTCCTGTAGTGAGATACCAGTGGAGCTTGCTGCCCTGGCTGCCCTGGTCCCGTCTCTCCCTGCCTCCTCTGCTGCTCTTCTGGCTGCCATTGTCACTGTCAGGAGAGAGGGGGGAGGGGGGTAATAACGTTCCCGGCCACTCCAGAATGTCTGATAGCTCTTGGATGCGAGCCTAGTCCTAAATATGTCATGTTAGTATCCGAACCACTTTTCTAAGTATGTGATGCCCTGCCTACAATAGTCTGTGGAATACGGGTGCATGTGACATTGATTAGCTGTGCTGTGATCGGACTGTTTGATTTTCAAGATCTAGGACCAAGATACCAGGCCATTTTTCTTTACATCACGAGATTAGGGCCTGGAAAACCACACTAGAAACACTTTCTAAAAACAGACAAGGAGAACTTACAAAACTTCCAAAGAGTGAAAGTGTGTTGTTCTACAGGCTGTTTACCTTGGTATTCCTGTCTCAGGGTTTGTCCAAACGCTCTCCCCACCGTCTGAACACCGACCATTATCAACTGGGCTAAAAACCGAGCCTACGCATGCGTAGGGAAACATAAATTCACAGTAAAAGGCTGTAGCAGAGCCTACCGTACCATTATCCATGAGACTTTCTTGGACGGTGCGACCTTTTCACCTTGCTGAGTCACCGTCCACGTGTGTGCTCTCTTATTAACGCCCACCAAAGTCATCACCGCCATCGCTCTCCTAAACTAAACCATTCGCCATGTCGGAGGAAGGGAAGATAACCAAGGAGTACTTGCTGGATCACCTGGACGGGAACGAGATGGACCTGGGCATGACCAACCTTTCCAAAGTCCCCGTGCGGGAGCTAGTGAGTTGAAACGTTTCCTCTGTATAACCACCTCCGTATCTCACCATTACGGCAGGCGCAGATACATCGGATGGCTAAATTGGACTTGTCCCGAAACCATCTAGCAGCCCTCCCAGTATGTCACACTCCACTACATTGAAATGCATCTATGTTCGTCGGTTCTCCTTCAGGATAACTTTTCACTTCTGAAGAATGTTCTAGAGCTAGACCTCAGCAAGAACCAGCTAACGCAGCTTCCTGACAGCTTCGGTGAGCTGGCGCAACTCCAGAAATTGGACCTCTACGGTAACAAACTCGCCGACCTTCCGTTGAGCTTTGCTGGACTCGAACGCCTGCGCTGGCTGGACTTAAAGAACAACCCTCTCAGTAAAGAGCTGGCCAAGGTCGCCGGGACCTGTGTGAATGAGGCAGAGTGCAAGGAGTGTGCCAGAAATGTGAGAGTATAATATAGTCTCGAGTGTTGTTTGTAATAGCGTTTGCTTTGTGTGTGTGTTGTGTGTGTAGGTGATAGCGTACATGGGGAACGCCGCAGCAGAGGCCGAGAAGAAGAGGAAGAAAAATCAGGAGAGGAAACAAGGTCTGTGTGTGTGAACACAAGGCATGTAGCTGTAGAACCCTACACACAAATCAATGTATGTAAACCAGGCTTCTATATATACACTCAATGACTGACATTCTGACGTTACAACCTGGGGTTATACTCACCCACTGCAACACAATGTACAGAAATGGTAACTCACTTTGTTTACGTGTACGTTTGAACTTTCCTGTGCTATTACTGATAGTCTGTTTTCCCGTGCTATGTGATAGCTAAACCACTCAGTTGTAACACGCGTCTTATTCCGTGCAGCGAGGGAGAGGAAGAAGAGAGAGGAAGAGGAGAGGAAGAAGGAGGAGGCGAGGAGAGAGAAGCAGGAGTTGAAACGACGTCGCAGGGAGGAGAGGGAGAGGGAGTTGCAGGCAGCCAGGGAGGCCGAGGAGAAGGAGGAGGAGGAGGATGTGACGAGACTGCGACCGCTACAAGCGAAGACGATGAACAGAAACCGGTGGAAGTCAAGAGATCTAGCTGTATAGCCTGCTGCTGTGAGTGAGTGTAGATCTTTACATAATACTGGGCAAGAGGTTTCACACTCTTGCTGTGTCACGCAAACCCATAAAATAGGAGCGGATCATTGAACTTGGTTACTACCCCTATAGTGTATTATCTGCCAGGACTACTCTCGACTGTGAACCCTTCAAAAAGGACCTTCTGAATAAAGGGCACCTCTCTATAAAGGCATTAGTGTACCTTTGAGAGTGGGACACCTCTGATTCTCTGAATATAGGATAGGACACTTTGAAGGTGTCCCCTATACATAGGTTTCACTGTATCTGCCTTTCCCCCAGGCTATCTATTGAGACTCCTGCTGGTGCTCATCACGATCCTGATAGTGCTGTCTGTGTGTTTCTCAGTCTACTGTGACTCTCTACTGGAGCCTGCTCTGTGTGCTGAGCTCTACCTCAACATCTCCACCGCCACCCAGCACGCCCTCGAACTAGCCAAGGAGCTGACTGGGTCCTCTGCACCAGTCAAATGACACGATCCACCATTTTGCGATAGAAAGTAGATGCTGTTAGAATGAAAAAGCACTAAAGTGCAAACCTTCGTCTTAGTCGGCTAATATATTTTTATTGTGTGTGTGTGTAGCTAATTGTACTGTAGTATCGTTTATGATGTTTATGTGAAACAAACCTGAACAAGTCAAGAGTTACAGAGTTTACTATATAAGGCATGATATAAATGAAAGGGGCTAGTGTTATAAGAGCTAAAAATACATAGTCTTATCCATTGTACTGTCGTCGTCTAGGGCATGTACATTATTATACTGTGGAATGTCAGAGCTTTGTCCTGATGATGTACTGGAGGAGAGCAATGACAGTGTTCTCATGGATGGAGTTCCTGATGCTGAGAGGCAGGTCAGAGGTGTCCAGGCCACCTGGTGAAGTTCGCCCCGGCCACGGTGGGTACTCTGTAGACTCTTGTGTGTAAGATGGGAGCGCAAGTCTCCACGTTTACTAGGCCGATGAGGTTGGCTATGTTCCATAGCGGTAGCAGAAGTGATGGAGTAGGCTCATTTCGACGGTGGCAGAGCAGTTGTTGTACAAAGTCTGAGTTTTCACCGTGTGGTGATGAGATGGCGACTCTTGGCGAACCATGTACTGCAACTGTAGTGTAGAGAATGGAAGCATTGGCATCTGCATTGTGGGTGGCAATAGGAGAGGGGTTCATTTCTCTACTTGGGTTTGAAAGCTGAAAAAAGCGACCCAGAACAAACTAGGTCTATATTTACAACAGGGGGAGGGATGGCATATGCCTATCATAGCTCATTGGCTACCACTGTACAATGTTCAGTGAGACTGCACTGGACAAAGTATGCAGAAATGAGAAAGCAGAAACACTGTGGCAATGTCTCTAAGTGCAGCTTTGACAATGCTGATGTGGTCAATTGTAATACCTACAGTGCTCACTCTCAGCGAGCGAGCATGTAGAGTATAATATTCCTAGCTGCCTAACCCTCTCGCAGGCATCGGTGCTAATCTCTGACAGAAGAGTGGTAAGAAATCTCTACTGTCGTGGTGTGGTGTCGTTGACGTTGCAATGGCGCATAGCTGGTCAAAGGCCACTAGGTGCATTCACCTCGACTCAGTATGTTCTCCGTAGCACACTCTCAGAGTTGATGTGGAGTCAGTGCAGGCCTTCATTCTCATCATAGCGACTTGGTCTGTAGAGGTGCGAGGGATAATGTGTCTTGTAGCTACCCAGCTAAGAATCACAATAAGTATACACCAGCAACTTCTATCATCTGACAAAAACCTTCTGTCCAAGAAAAAACAAACTGAAGGCCAACGATGGATCATATTAGCTACTCCAGAAAGGCAAGACAAGTGCTAGCATGGGCAAAAGGTCGCCTATATTTCTGGCAACATGTCTGCCATCAAGCTTGTGTTTGCTTAACTTAAATCTAGCTGTAGGTCAATTGCTGATGGTAGGCTTTACCATTGACAGCCAAGCGTAAGTCAGAGTATATTGAGGACAAGCAGTGCATGATATCAGTTTCTCCAACTGGGGGCCCCTGTGCTGGTAGCCATTGCGTCCCTCTTGTCCCGGACAGACATATTGGTTCTACCCCTGCTGCTGAAGCCACCACCTGCTGCTCTGGCTGCTGGCTATAGAGAGCCAGAGATGCAGCAGAGGAAAAAAGCCAGTTACTACCAGCCAGACGATTCATGATGGAATACTCTTGATTGACTCTGGAGGACTTCACCGAGTAGCTATTTGGCAGTTGGGTAAAAGGTAGCTGTTTTGACGGAACCTTGTAATGATTACCTGTCGCAGCGTCCAAGATTTTTATACCCTCCCCAGCTTGCCGGGGGGAATTACAGCCACTGAAAAATATTTCCGAGGAAATGCAACTTGTTCGATTTCAGGGACAATCACCGCACCCAAGATGCAGGAATGCTAAATTGCAAGGGTTAGGTTCGTCTGATTGAATCTGGCACATGGAAAGTCAAAACAACCTACAACAGTAGTTAACACCGTATTGTTGTGCATTTGCATAACCACATTACATTAATTTGAGGTAGTTACTTTACATGACGATACCATAGTTCTTTTGAATCCGTATAAGACTGGTCCAGAAACCAAATTACCCGGGGGTTGGGGAGTGGGCGATCATTTCCATGATGTCGTGTCTTGTAGGGACTGCAGTATGGCGGGAGGGATTGTCTGGTCTTGCTGACAGGTAGTCCTGTACGAAACTGGTTCTAAAAGTTCACGCCGCCTGATTGCTCGACGTGACGTAGACGTCATGAGGATATGTGTTTCGCCGGGCACCGGCATCGGACCTGTTTCCCACTACAAGGATCTTCGGAACTCTGGAACCGTTCTCAAGCGCCCAGCTCCGCTTAAGTTGTTGTGGTATCGACTCGTCATGATGAAGGGAAAAACAGGCTATCTCCTCCCGCCTTAAGCCGCGGTACGTACATCAGTGCAATCCTTGTCCTAATAGTCCCTGGATATGAGGCACAAGTATCCGTGATTTGAGGCTCTCCACGGCCCGTCGGAAACTGTGCCCATGGGGCGATAGGCGTCATTGAGGGATGCCGTACAGTCCATGAAGAAACAGGTTTTATAAAATCGCTGCTGTCGTTCATTTTCTGTCGTGCGGGTGTACATGTACCGGGAGTAGTGGAGCAGGCATTTGGTCGTGTCTTGCCGACATGGTTCCGGAACGTCCGAGTCAACACTATGCATTCGAAATTGCCCCAGCACGCCATCGGTGAGACCTTCTTTCCGGCTGAATATTCTATATCAAAAAGCACGTCTCACTCTGCCGCATGCGTCACTCCCCACAAGAACCACCACACGTACAAAACCCTTAAGTTGACGAAACAAGCCCGTGGTTTTGTAACAGTTGACAAGCTCTAGCCTGCGTTCAGATTCCCTCCTGATTCAAATGGTACAGCGCGGATCTACAGATCGGCACGGCCACCACTGTCGACAAAAGTGGGTTCAAGCGTGGACCTGTGGGATGAGCACCCCCGTGAAACATGTGGAATATCTTGCTGGATATATTTCAAAAAGAGGAGATCATGCACACGCCAGTTCAGTGCAATGGGCTGGGCCATGGACGTGTATTCCAGTAGTGCTCGTTGGAAGGAAGCAGACACGGTCGGCCGCATGCGACGGGCGGCATTTTGCTTTGGGCTCTCGGCCCTTTTTGGCTAACAGTACTATCGAGGGATTAAAGAAGGAAGTTAGCAGGATTTCTTATTGCGGCGATTTCAACCAAGATCAAATAAGGTGGGTCTTTTGTACGGGGAAGTGGGCGGGGATAGAGTGAATCTGCATTGCGACACGCAAGCTTGTCTGAAGTCATAGTCTCGTGCACCAGTGGTCTCTCCGTGGCCGGCCATTATCGACTCTTGCAGGAGGAAGATTGCGGCGGGTGATATCCAGCAAAAGCCCTAAAGTCTGTAGCGATCCTATGGAATTAGGATGTCGATTTGGGCACGTCCAGTCTTGGATCCTGCGTCGCGGATACTCCGAGGGGGGAGGACGGAGGAGAAAGACCGCCGTGGGCAGGCACGTCTAAGCAGACGGTTGAACATTTTGATGAGTCTGTCGTATGTGCTAAAGTGGCGAGCATTTTCCAGATTCTCATTGTATTGGATTGACAGTGTCTCCCTTTTTTTTAGGAAGAAGCTGTCAGTTTTAATATGAAGCATGATTTAGTT